CCCCCCCAAAAAAAAAGAGTCTCAAAAAAAAAAAAAAAGATTAACAGAGACTTCATTCACATAGGATTGTCAGTAATTCTTCTGTGTGCTTACCCTCGGTTCTGTAGATCCTCCAAGTTGGAGGCATTCCATTCTGATCCCTAAAGAGCCAAAATGACAAGGTTAGGGAACATTAGCAAATCAACTAAATAAAATATTTGAAAAAAAGTACTGTGTAAGAAAGAAGCAGGCATTTTATATATTAGCACATTTAGTTCCTAGCCTCAATTTTTTTTTACATATAAGAAAGCTGACTCATAAAATTCAAATAATTTCTCTCAAGACCGTCAAGAAGTGACTTTTGACCATCATCAAATCTACACTCAATTTCCTATGCTATTCAAATTCATAGTAATTCACTATTTTCCTGAGCAGTATCTATCACAATTTGTACATTAATATTTATTTATGTGCTTATTTTCTAATTATTTCACCTACTGTAAAATAAACTCCTGAGGGTAGAGACCTTTGGAAAACTTGCATAGTGCCTGGTACTTAGAGATGCTCAACAGTGAACAAAACAATGTTATTATAAATTAAACCTAGATCTGAGGACTCGTTTATGAGGGTCTGAATTTAATCCTGAGTTTCTCACTAAGACAAAAAACAAAACAGATCTGGGGAGATCTGATTCAAATCCTACTCCTCCTAGCTTATTATAAATTAAGGAGTATAAAGAGGCTGGTGGCAGAGTGTAAATGTGTGTGTGTGTCTGTGTTCTAAGACAATGAAATGGCAGCCTTTGTCAATAAAGGGGAAAACATATGTAAAATTTTAAAAAGAGGCAAATGAGGGGTTAGACTCTGCAGGATATCTGGAAGACACATTAGTTATGAATATTTTCCATAATCGTCTTTCTTTTTTTTCAATCAATATACAATTGTGCCATTGTGAAAGCAATTTGAATACTATAATACTTGAACAGGTACAAGAACATTTAAAAATTATTAAGTAGCTGTACAAAGAGGTTTTAATTCTATAATTCAAGTTATAAGAACAATGCATCTTGATCAATGTCACCTACCCCTTTTACTGTTCTCCCCATTTTCCCTCCTCTCATTCCTACCCTCAAGTTATGTAGTTCAATTTTTACATACTGTCATTGAATATGGTGACTCCATTTGCTCACTCTTTCTCCCTCTATTCCTGTGCTTTCTTCCATCCCCCACAAGCATGTTTCTACTTCCTGGTATTCATTTTATTAATGAGAAAATTTTCTTACAAAATACTATGATCATACTCAAAATATAACACAAATTCAATAACTTAATACACTGTCCATATTTGAATTTCCACAACTGTCTCCCAAATGTCCTTTATAAACTCAAAAGTCATACTTTACATGTGGTTGCCATATTTCTATTTCCTTTTCTAATATGGAACAGCCTATACCTCCCTTTCTTTTTTTTTAATTTTATTTTTTGTTTATATGGTACCAAGGAATTGAACCCAGGGACTCATGCATGTTAGCTACTCTACCACTAAGCCACATTCCCAGTCCCTCTCTACTCTTTTTATTGTTTTTAGTCTGTCATGACACTTACACTCTATAAAAAAAGATTTCAGCTCTGCTAACTAAGAGAACACACTATAACTTGGGTTTTTCAGATTATTTTCTGTGATCAGATTCAGGTCAAACTTTTTTTTGTGCCAGTACTGGGACTTGAACTCAAAGCCTTGTACTTTTGCTTAGCTTTTTTGCTCAAGACTGGAGGGTCCACCACTTGAGCCTCAGCTCTGCTTTTAGCTTTTTGCTAAGTCATAAGAGTCTCTTGGATTTGGGGTTGGAGGTATGGCTTAGTTGGTAGAACACTAGTCAATGAGCAAAAGTGGCCACAGGTAAGATTTTTGAGTCCTGGTCTCTTGGGTTTGTGTGCCTGTGCTGGCTATGAATCAGGATCTTCAAGATTGTAGCCTCTTTAGTAGCTAGGATTGTAGGTATGAGCCACTGGCACCTGGCAGTTCCAACTTTTTACAAGAGTGACATTACGTTCTTCCTATTGTATCAAATTGGGAAACATATGCTATTAGTTTGCCCCATTATTTAGTATGCTGAGTTTAAATACACTGTACCTTTCTTTGTATCTTCCACATCTCTCTACTATAAAGGTTTCTTTGCAATTAATTAGTAATCTAGGGATAGTCATTATTAGAGATTGTGTGAATACACTGTCTCATAGTAACTTTTAGCCTTTTTTTTGGCAGTCATGGGCCTTGAACTTAGGGCTCTGTCCCCGAGTTCTCTTTGCATCCTACCACTTTGAGCCACAGCTCCACTAGCCTTTGTTTCAGTCCTGAGACTTGACCTCTGGGCTGGGCACTGTCCTTGAGCTTCTTTTGTTCAAGGCTAGTACTCTACCACTTGAGCCACAGTGCTACTTCCACTTTTTCTGTGTATGTGGTACTGGGGAATCAAATCCAGGGCTTCATGCATGCTAGGCAAGCACTCTATCGCTAAGCCACATTCCCAACCCTTGCCTTTGGTTTTAATGCCCATTTCTCATCTTGCCCAAATAAACTATTTTTCTGGAGATTATAAAACAGTGATACTTGTGTATGTTTTTGTTTCTTTTTTTGGTCGGTTGTGGGGCTTGAACTCTGGGCCTGGGTGCTGTCCCTCAGCTCTTCAGCTCAAGGCAAGCGCTCTACCACTTGAACTACAGCGCCACTTCCGGTTTTCTGGTGGTTTATTGGAGATAGGAGTCTCACGGTCTCTCCTGCCTGGGCTGGCTTTGAACTGCGATCCTCAGATCTCAGCCTCCTGAGTAGCTAGGATTACAGGCGTGAGCCACCAGCGCCCGGCTTTGTGTATGTTAGCTGGTACTCATCCCTAATACAGCTTCATCTGACTATTCTTTCCATCTTTTTATTAAAATTATTTCTTTCCTGTCTTACAATATTCGAGTTTGAATTCCAGGCTTCAAAGCAGGGACTCTAACTGAGCCACTAACTCTCAGCTGCTTTTAACATTATTTTGATGCTCAAATTGTCCTGAATTTGGCAAGTGGGAAGGAATCTCATCAAGGTAAGTTTTTTCCTAGTCAGGCATTGGCAGTTCATGTCTGTGGCTCGCTACTAGACTCCTAGTCATTTCTGAGACTGAGATCCAGGACTGTGGTTCAAGGCAAAAGTTTATGAGACTTTTTCTCCCTCCACCCCACTTCTCCTCTTTCTTGTATTATGTGTACTGGGACTTCAACTCAGGGCCTTGCACTCTCTCACTCTACTTTTTATTCATTCATGGCTAGTGCTCTTGGTAGAGTCACACCTCCAGTTCTTGCTTTTTGCTGGTTAACTGGAGATAAGAATCTCTTCTATTTGTCAGCCCAGGCTGGCTGAGAACTGTGTTCCTAAATCTCCTGAGTAGCTAGGATACAGGCCTGGAAAATTCATGAGATTCCTCATTGAGTTCATGCTTGCCTGCTATCCTAGCTACATGACGGTTAAGATCGGGAGGTTCACAGTTCTAGGGTAGTCTAGGACAAAAAGTTTGAAAGATTTTATTTCAATGGAAAGAAATGGTATGGTAGCATGAGCCTGTAATCCTAGCTATGACTGAAACCTAAACTAGGTGGATTGTGGTCCGGAGGCATGTCCAGGCAGAAAATAAAACCCTACCTCAAAATACCTAGAGAAGGGCTGGGAAGGTGGCTCAGTGTTAAGAGTGCTTGCATGCATGAGGCCCTGGGTTCGATTCCTCAGCACCACATAAACAGAAAAAGCTGGAAGTGGCGCTGTGGCTCGAAGTGGTAGAGTACTAGGACAGTACCCAGGCCCAGAGTTTAAGCCCCATGTCCAACAAAAACCTAGAGAAAAAGGGCAGGAGACAAGTGTGTTTGAGTGCTTGCCTAGCAAACTTCAAGCTCTGAGTTAAAACCCAGTACATCAAACAAACAAACAAAAACAACTTCCAGATTCACTTTTGTGAATGGACTCACCATTTCTCAAAGAACTCTGGTTTCTTTTAATAAAGAATGTTATTGTGTAATCAAGATACCAGTATTAATTACATGGGCTTGGAAAAATTTTCAGCAGACAAAGCAAAGAAATATTTCTAAAAATAGCAAGTTTAAACTGTTATCTCCAATTCACATTTACAGGTTCTTTCTCAATTTTTGACTTGACTCAGCATTTTTAGTTCCCTAATCTCCCTAAAACCTTGGTTCCCAACTCATTTTCACTACTAAGAAAATAAATTGAACATTACTATGACCAAAACAAACCTATTAAATTCAATATTTTGGTTGGTCTATTTGCTAGTCATATTTCACTAAGGATAAAAGCAAAGAATCTTGCCTAAAAGTTATTTAAATTATTATCTTCTATAAGGTCTCAATTTGGTATATATTTGTGTTAATTTGTTCTGTGTACCCAATTTTAGAATATGCTTTTCCTATTATCTTTAATTTTGTGAGTAGCAAAACTTTTACATAATGGAAATTCAAAGTTTTTTAAAAAGTAAGCTTATAATTTCACTTGGGAAACTAAAGTAAGAAGATAGCATTCAAAATTACTTGGGCTACATAGCAAGTTTGAGGCATGCCTGGGCTATACAGTGATATCCTGTATCAAGGAAGAAAAAGTAAACATCTATATCTTTAATTCCTATGGGTAACTATTTTCATTAATTTATAGTTTATACTGCTTATGTTCTATTAAAAATATAAGCAAATACAGATTACCACTTCTCATATCACAGAGTAGTATACTATAATTTTTTGTTCTTTGGTTTCTTTTTTTTTTTTTTTTTGTCGGTTGTGGGGCTTGAACTCTGGGCCCGAGTGCTGTCCCTCAGCTCTTCAGCTCAAGGCGAGCGCTCTACCACTTGAGCTACAGCGCCACTTCTGGTTTTCTGGTGGTTTATTGGAGATAGGAGTCTCATGGTCTTTCCTGCCCGGGCTGGCTTTGAACCGCGATCCTCAGATCTCAGCCTCCTGAGTAGCTAGGATTACAGGCGTGAGTCACTAGCACCCGGCTTGGTTTCTTTTTTTTCTATGTGTGTCCTGGTACTAGAATTTGAACTCAGTCAGGGCTTTCTTTCTTTCTTTTTTTTTTTGTCAGTTGTGGGGTCTAAACTCTGGGCCTGGGCGCTATTCCTTAG